ATATATGTATGTATGTATATATATATGTATTGTTGTTTTGTTTCGGTATTGTTGTATTCGTTTATAAAGAAATTGAGCTGTTTTACTTTATTGTTATTTTGCTTATTTGTTAAGAAATAAATTTATTGGAACAACATCAGCAGCAGCAGCAGCAGCAGCAACGAGCAACGCAGCTGCAACACAGAGAACAGAAGGAGCAGCAACAAACAGCAGCAACAAACAGCAGCAGCAGCAGCAGCAGCAGCAGCAGCAACAGGAGGTGTATGTGTGTAGTGTATCTCACCGTATTTTGTTTCTTTTTCTTTCGCATTCTTTATACGGCCCATAACTGGAAAGAGTATACCGAGAGACAGAAATATGAGCCCTTGTAGCATCCAGATGATCGACTCCAGCAGCAGCAGCAGCAGCAGCAGCATCAGCAGCAGCAGCAGCAGGAGGAGGAGGATTTTTGTCGCTGGGTAGTGTGAAACGAAGTCTATAGTATGGGGGTTTGTTTTCATGCTGCTGCTGCTGCTGGTGCTGTTGCTGCTGCTGTTCTTCTGGTGGTAGCGATAGACTAGCAGCAAAAGGAAAAGAATCTTTAATATGTTGAATATCAAGAAATGTATCTCTTAAATCTAATAAAGGGAGACGGCTAGGCAACCGGGTGTATAGACAGCTCGATGGGTCCCCATACCCTAAAAATATATCCTGCAGCCACGAGGGCACCATAAGCTCTTCTTCTTTATTCATCAACCATCTTATTGTTTCTAATACACCTTTAAAATTATTCTGACGAGCACTGCGGCGTAATATTATATTCATTTGTGCGTGCAGTGACGATACACCTGAATCTTTTAGCTCTTGTAAATCTCGGGTGTATGCGCAGCTATCCAATAATACACGCATCGTTCGGGTTGTTCCCACTGGCTTATGAGCTGAATACAAAAAAAAAAAAATATAAAAATTATATATTAAATAATATATTATAATATATAATATAATATAATGTAATATAATAGAATATAATGTAATATAATATAATATAATATAATATAATTTAATATATAATATAATATAATATAATATAATATAATATAATATAATATAATATAATATAATATAATATAATATATAATATATTATATAATAATATAAAAGAAGAGACAAAAGAAAGAAAAACAGAAAGGAAAGAAAAAGTAATGAAAGGGAAAAAACTGAAAGAAAAAAGAAATAGAAAAAAAAACAAAAAAAAATAAAGAGAAAGAGAAAAAAATAGAAAAGAAAAAACAGAACAAGAGAAAAAGAAAAGAGACGAATACGTCGATATGCAAAATAAAAAGAAAACAAAAAAATAAAAAAAATAAAAAAAAAATAAAGGTAACACAGAGAAACAGACAAAAACACACAAAAAGCAAAACAAAACAAACACAAGAAAGTAAACAAACAGCCACCCCGAATGCAGGAACACTCGAACCATCTGCAGCAGCAGCAGCAGCAGCAGCCGCAGCAGCATCAGTAGCCGCAGCAGCCGCCGCCGCCGCCGCAGCAGCAGCAGTAGCAGCCGCAGCAACAGCAGCAGCAGCCGCAGCAGCAGCAGTAGCAGCAGCAGCAGCAGCAGCAGCAGCAGCAGCTGTACTGACGTTTGAGTGGGTTGGGTTCGGAGATACAAACCCCCTCCTGGTCGTACACCTCAACTATCTCAGCTCCCCTCACCGCCATGATACCGAAACCTTCACGTATAGAAGAAGGGGATAAGCTTTCAGGGTTATGCTGCAGCTGCTGCAGCAGCTGCTGCTGCTGCTGCTGCTGCAGCAGAGGAGGAGATATAGACAAACAAAATACTACATCGTGAGCACCCAAAGCATCCCACTCAGACCT